GGCTGAGGTGAGTGGATTGCCTGAGCCCCTGGGTTCGAGGCCCACCCGGGCAACTTGGCGAGACCTCATCTCTACAATAAATCAAAATGACCTGGGCGTGGTAGCGCACGCCTGTAGTTCCAGCTACTTGGATGGCTGAGGCAGAAGGATTGCCGGAGCCCAGTAGGTCGAGGCTGCAGTGACTGGGAGCGGCCACTGCACTCCAGTCTGGGCTACAGAGTGAGACTTCAACTCAAAAAAAAAGAAAGACAGTGTAGGGTGCTCCATGAGGCTGGCCTAGGGGGAAGGCAGAAGCCCACGGGGCAACATGAGTGACAGAGGCATACAAGTGGTGAACCTGGGCACCTGATGAGAGACTAACCCAGCCCATCTATACATAAAGTTTGCTTGCCAATATATTTAGACACTCAGGAGTAGTGAGTTGAAAAAACAGAATCAAGAGTCTTTTTGTTTGTGCTTGGTTTTTTAATAAGAAACAGTAGAGGAGGTTTTGTGGGTTTTTATTTTATATTTATTTTTATTTTATTGGGATAAGAATGTATGATGTAGAGCCACAACTACGAGTAATGACAAGCTAGACGTTATAAACAATGTGCTTATCAACATCTGTATTCAGTAGAGTTACATAATGTTTAAACTAACAGATAGTTTAGCACATAAGGAAAAAAGTACAAAGTATGCCTAGAGGACAGAGGTTGGAGCTACAAACCTTCCTCTGTAAAAAGAAACACCAAATGCTATAGGTGGTTTTGTCGATTGTATTTATTTATTTATTTATTTATTTTGAGTTGGGGTCTCCTTCTGTTGCCCAAGCTGGAGTGCAGTGACATGATCCCAGCTCACCGCAGCCTCCCACTCCTGGACCTAGGCCATCCTTCCACCTTAGCCTCCTGAGTAGCTGGGACTACAGGTGTGCACCACTATGCCAGGCTAATTTTTTTATTTTTTGTAAAATGAGGTCTTACTATGTTGCCCAGGCTGGTCTCCAACTCCTGGGCTCAAGCAATCCTCTCGCCCAACCTCCCAAAGTGGTGGGATTACAGGTGTGAGGTATCACACCAGCCCATATATTTCATTTTGATTCTTCAACTTAAGAGAGCAAGCAGCGCTTCAGTCATCTGAAGCAAAAAGGCAAGTGTCAAAAGCAAGAAATACAAGCCTTCAAGTGCTCCTTATAGGCAAGGAGCAGCTCTCCCTCAGCAGGAGGGGTTCATCTTCAGAGCCAGGGCTGGAATGCAAACCTAAGTTGGGAAGTTCTTGGTTCACCCTGTTTCTCTGCCCATTGAGCTCCCGTCCCAGCTCGCAAACAGCCAGAAGGAGCTTAATCCAACAATCTACCAGAATCCTAATTGTTCCTCACTCATACTCTCATGAAAGCTTCACCCTCTTAATATGAACCTAACAAGAACATAATTTAGAACTAAATGATAGAATGTTTGTGTCTCTTAGCCACCATCGCATTTTCCTTTATCAGCACGAACATTTTAGAGATGCTTAAACAAACAAAAAAAGCCGCCTCAAATTAATCTGAGGCATATTTTCCTTCTGTTTCCCTAGTTGGGAACTTGCTTCCCTTCTGAACAGAAATCATCTCCCTCCTAAGGCCCAGCTCACACTGTGGCTCGCAAGTGGCAACGGTCAAGCCCACACACTGACCTGGAGTCTAAATCTGTGTGTTGGTCCAGGCGACCTAGTGCAGCTAAAGGATTACACTTTACCATGACAATTATATAGCAAAAGGTTAACAGCCTCTCTATATAAAGGATTCACACAGTGAAAAACTAAAACTCAAAATGATTTTTAAAAAACAAAATAACTGATAGAACTTCACAAAAGAAGAAATACAGTCAACAAGACTTGAAAATGTTAAACTTTACTAATTATGAAAGAAAGTAACAATCACAATTTGTAACTATTAAAGATTAAAAGACTCAAGAATATGCAATATTAGAGAGGATGACATGAGACAAGTATTTTCTTAAATTGCTGGTAGTAGGATAAACTGATTCACAAACATATTCATCATAGCATTTATACTACTACAAAATAATGTTATAAAGCATAATATATACCAAAAAACTATAAACCATGATACAGCTATATGTAGCTATGTTAAAACAGTGTTTAGGAAACATTTCTAGTTCATGGTATAATGATGTCTGCAAAGTGGGATACAAACATATATATTTATGTGATCCCAACTACACAAAAACAAAACAGAATTATAGAAAGAAATGTGCTGTTAAGAGAGGTTATTTCTATTACTTGAAGTTATAATCTTTAGTCTTTTCTCTACACTTTCATGTATTTTCCAGTTTTCTGTGATCAGCCTGGTGTTAATTACAAACAGGAAAAATTTCATCTAAAAATGGCCACAGTGACTCAGCAGTTTCCCCTTCTGACCTCTGAAGGAAATACTGGCTTATCATTAAAGAAAATTTAAAAGCTCATTGTAGTGAGAGTGTGACTACCAGGATTGTTGAAAACAAAAACCAACAAAACAACAACAAAAAAAGGCAGGCCTTTGGGGCAGCAAAAAAAGATCCATATGCTGTCACTGCGAAGCTTCTCCGTACACAAGTTCCTGAAGTCTACCCATATTTCCAACAGGATGCATGGAGGGTCATCTCAGCACTGTGCTGAGTAGGGATGAGACATAAAACCCAGCCCTCGCTCAAGCAGCTCTGCTGTCCTAAGATGTGTAACTAAGATACACATGTGAAAAAACTCAAGGAGACAATGGCACCTTCATTCACTCTGAAGAAAAAGACAGCTGCTACCAAAACAGCAAAATAGATGAAGATTGTCCCTCAGAGAGATTACATTCTGGTGGAGCATACATTCTAATTTATGGCCAAACCACAGTGTGGGCTGAAGGAGCCCACGGATGCTTGAGTGGCCGTGGCAGGATTTGGAGAAGCAGAAAAGAGGGCAGGACTTGAGGAGCTGAAGAGTGGAGGGTGGGCAGACGGGACTGGGCACAGCCTGAGAGGTCTGTCTGTGCAAAGCAAGCGTGGAAGCTGGGCCCTACAAGAACTTAGGAGAACTGCAAGTTTAAGCCCAAACTGTACCAGTCGGTGGAGAGCCTCAGGCACTGAGCTTAGCTGCTGGGACTGAATATGAGGCGAGATGAAGAAAAGGCAAACCAGGGACAGCTCCAGTCTTCTTGGCTTTAGTTTTATTCTGTTGTACACTTCATTTTTTTTTTTTTAATTGAGTTGGAGTCTCCATCGCCCAGACTGGAGTGTAGTGGCACGCTCACAGCCACCCCAGCGTCAACCTGCTTGGCTCAGGTGACCCTTCCGCCTCCGCTTTCCAAATAGCTGGAACTACAGGCATGCACTACCATGCCCGGCTAATTTTTTGATTTATTGTAGAGACGCGGTCCAAGTTGCCCAGGCTGGTCTCGAACCCCTGGGCTCAGGCAATCCTCTTGCATAGGCCTCCCCAAATGCTGGGACTCTTTATTTAAAACCACCGAAAGGCCAGTTGAGAGAAATGCAGAAGTCAAAACAAAGGCTCCCTTGTGCTGGCAGGAGCAGCTGTGAGGTGGCTAATGTAATCTCCCCTCTGAGAAGTCTCATTCATTTTTGAAATTGAGCCCTGTTTTCAAGGTAAAAATGCTTAATAATAATAATTTTTTGAACCCAAGTGTAACAGGATTCAAGCAAAGGCACCCCCAACTCCCATCTCAGGGAGGCAAGTCAAACCTTATTTCCTACAGCACAAACTAGGGTTCCTATCCTGGAAATCCATTCCACATTCTAACATACTAAACCCATTAAAAACACAGATGTAGGGTTTTACGAACATTTGTTAAATATCCAAAACCATCCAAAATATGTTCCTGTTAGGGATTTTTTCCATACCTCAGGCTCAGCTGGGTAAAACGCCTTATCATCCAGGTTAATAACACATGGCCTAAAGCTACCTTTTTAATCACGGATAAAGCATCATTGCTCTAAGAGTCTTCCAGCTTCGTTCACACCAGGGTCTTCATCCTCTGAGCCCGCACAACAGTGCCACAGGGGTCAGCAGCCAGGGCGTCGCTGGCATGGCCCCTCACTTCACCTCTAAGTGCCTCCACCCTACTCCTCTGGAGCTGAAGCCATGGGCAGAACTGGGTAAACTGCCCAGTGCTGATGGGGCTGGCCAGTGGCATCCCAGGGGCGGGGGTGGCAGCACAGGCTCAGGCCTCTTTGTCTAAACAGACCCATCGCCATCTGCCAGCCCACCCAAGTCTCTGCCAAAGGAGTCACTGGTAAATCTTTATTCTCATTTTTGGCGCACACTTGAGTCCTCTGAATAGAGCCGCTCCCTCTGTCCTTCCCATGTTCTTATATCCCATTTGGCCCCCTTCTGTTCTTGTAGAATAAGCACAGTGGATGGAAGCAGACAGACCTTACAGTCAGCTCTGGAAAAGAGGGCACTTCCCTGAAGCAGTCCTTTCAGAAGGTGGTCATCAGGGCTGTGTAGCCTACAGGTTCCTCCGCAGGGCTACTGCTCACTTTGTTGCTGGACACCACCTGGCTCCTAGCTTGGGCTCCCAGGAGACCACTTGGTATCATGACGGCGCCTTGTGCCTCACAAGCCTGCAGCACTGTGTTCCTATTCAGTTCTGGGTGTAAATGGCTGTTCTATCACTTATTGGAAATAGACAAACGTAAAGGATAGTGTGCACACCACTGTTTTAGAGGCAAATTGGATGAAGCCTTTCTGATCTAAAAAGTAGTGGGTTTTTTTTTCTAACGATAAGTGTAATGAAATGGGCACTGATACAACTTCGAGGGACTATAATTAACAAGTTTTCTTTAGGTAAGTTTGGCACATTTGGTAAAATCACTATTTCTACCCTTGACACAGTGATTGCATTTAAAGATATCCCAAATAAGACTCATACAAGTATCTTCACTATCACTTATAAGGGTGAAAAATGGAAATGATTTGTCTAATAATGGTGTAATGGATAATTCTATGAGCTATTATGCAGCCATTAATCATGTTTTTGAAGAATATTTAAGTTTTGAAAAATGTTCACAATATCCAGCGAAAAAAGCATTATGTTCAATGTTACAACTATTTAAAAATGCAGCAGCACATAAGAAAAAACACTGGTAGAATATTAGTAATGGTTCTATGTATGTGGTAGGATAAAATGTTTTTATATTTTTTTATTTTAAAAATATTTTCTAAGCTTTCTATAGTTAACATGCTACTGTTGAGAGGGGGAAATTGTAGACATTTTCAAAGTAATGAGTACTACAATGTGATTCCAACATCAGGTGACATCTTGTCTTGACCCAGTAATGAGTTCCCAAACCAGAACAGGTAAATTCCAGAGAGGACCTGATAGTGGTCCATGGTGTAGGCTCACAGTAGAATGAACTGCAGCGCTTCAAAAACATACCAGTGCCAGGGCCCATGCACAGAAGTTGTGTTCTGATTTGTGGCCCAGCAAATAGGTAGTTTTTACAGCTCCCCAGGTGGTTGTCATGGCAGCTGTGATGAAAACCATCCCCTTCAACTAACCTTCAGGTTCCCAGTAAGAGTGAGTTTTGCCCTTCACCTCAGTAAAAACTCCCTCAATAAGGACTTCAGCAACTCCCCAAATGTTTCCAATGACTCCTTGTACTGGGGCTGCAGCAAAGCCTCTGACCAGAGCACTTCAGACAAGATGTTAGCCAGTCTGCAAAGCTGCCTGGGAGAGACTTTTCCTTGTGACAGAGATGCAGATGACTTCTCATCCAGTGGGTCCTGACTGCATGTTACTCAGACTTCTTGTCTTTGATGGTAGGCAGCGTAGGCAGAAAGCTTGCCATGGATTTCTATGGCATGCCCAAGGGAGAACGTGAGCTTATGAAGACACGGGGCGAGAGGTAGCGCTGGACACTAACTGGTGTGACTTCCCTGTAGGTCCCCCTGCAAAGGCCAGGAGATGGCCTTTGCCAGGCCACAGCGGGACATTCTGCTGTTCCTGAGCATCATGGTCCTCACGGTCCTGGTTACCTCCTTGCTGTTCTACGCTCTTCTCTGGAAGGCTGGCAACCTCACTGACCTGCCCAACCTGAGGATCGGCTTTTACAACTTCTGCCTGTGGAACGAGGATGCCGTGTCCCTGCAGTGTTACCAGTTCCCTGAGCTGGAGGCCCTGGGTGTGCCTCGGGTTGGCCTGGCCCTGGCCAGGCTTGGCGTGTATGGGTCCCTGGTCCTCACCCTCTTTGTCCCCCTGCCTCTCATCCTGGCCCAGTGCAACAGCAACATGGGAGAGTGGCGGCTGGCAGTGGGCTTCCTGGCCACATCTACTGTGCTGCTGGCCAGTGGCCTGTGTCTTTTCCTCTCCTACGTTTGGAAGTGGGTCAGGCTCTCCCTTCTGGGGCCTGGGTTTCTAGCTCTGGGCAGCGCCCAGGCCTTACTCATCCTCTTGCTTATGGCCACAGTTATGTTCCCTCTGAGGGCCCAGGGGGACAAGAGCAAGCTTGAGTGTTGCTAGTCTGGTCTAGAGGCTTATGTGATGTCAAAGGTCTAGCGCCAACTGTGCTTGGAGAAGGCGACGTGTCTTCTCACGCATTTCTCAGCTGATGCTGATCTCAAGCTCCAGCCAATGGAACCTTCCACAGAGCAGGGGGTCCCCAGTGTCAAGGAGGCTAAGGTAGCAAGGGCGGTGGGGCAACTGCAGCTTCTTAGTGTAGGTCTGTCTGTCCTTCAGAATTTGCAAGGCTACCCAAAACACCCTGGAACCACACAACTCATCGTCATGCCAATTCCTGCTTTAATTAATGGATTTGAGCAAATCTTACTCTAGCCTCCGGAGGGTGGGCAGGGAAGGATTCAAATCATGGGGCCAGACTTCCAGGTTGATTTGTCAGATGCCAAACTGGAACCCAGTGAAGGTTTATGGCAAAAAATGGGAACATTAAGAGACCAGCCTGGTCAACACAGTGAGACTTTGTCTCTACAAAAAAAAATTTTTTTAAATAGCTGGGCATGGTGGCATGCACCTGTAGTCCCAGCTACTCAGGAGACTGAGGGCGGGAGAATCACTTGAGCTCAGGAGACCAAGGCTGCAGTGAGCTATTGTCTTGCCTGCACTCCAGCCTTACTAACAGAGCAAGATCTCATCTCAAAAAAAATAAAAAGGAACTTTAGTGCCCTTCAGGGCCTGGTGAGCAAGCTTCTGCTCCTCCATCTGTGGGGAGCAGGCCAAAATGAGCCCTTGAGACTCTATTCCCAAAGGCCCAGGAGTGAACTCTGAGGGATTCAAAGAGAACACATGGCACACAGAGAAACCTTGGTGGTTTTGAAGGTTCCCCTAGACCTGAAGCCAGACAGAGCAGTCATCCGGCAAATCTTTCCTACCACGTGACCATGTGCCACCAAGTCCTTGGGTAGAAGGTGAACAGGCCCAGAAGGTTGAACATACGTGTGAATGCTGCATCCTTTTACTTCTCAACCTGAAACTGAGAAGGATATAAGCACAACTCATGTGTTGAGGAATTTATTTTTCAGCACCTAAAAAATTTATTAAAAAACCTGTTTGAAAATGATTTACTCATTTGATGCCTGTCCAAAGTCACAGTGAATAGAGGCAGAAACATGACTTCTGGTATGACTTCTCGTCCTCAGTGTCTCCTCTGGGCTCCTGTCCCTCTCTTGCTTTGTAGCTACCCAGGGACCAAGGTGGAGATTGCCAGGTAGAAGGAAGGTGGCAGCTAGGGGGAGGAGGCTGGCTTCCAGTCTGTGCCCGGTGAGCCTCAAGCTCCCAGACGGGACAGAGAACTGTGGGCAGATGGTCTGTCTTCAAGGCTGGCTGCAGGGTAAAAGTTCATTGACACTGCCTTGTGATGGAAACTATTAGGGGAAGATCGTGCTGACTAAACTACAGGAATTCCAGTGTTTCAATACTTTGAAAAGTATTACCACCAAATGACCTCAATTTCCCTGGAACCTGGTAACTGAATAAAATAGATAACTGGGTTCCAGACCCTCAGAGCTGGGAGAGGGCACTGTGCAGAGAGGAATTTTAATGGGAATTTGAGTCTTCCACACACTCAGGATAGCAGCCCCCAAGAGCCTCCTGGAGCTTCTGGCCTGAGGTGAGTCTGCCAGGCCCAGGAAGGCACAAAGCTGGGAGCACAGACAGCCCCACCCACACCCAGGGGCAGCTCCCAGCAGCCCCAGTGGAAGCCCAGCTGTCCTCCAGCTGCTCTCAGCAGTGAACAGTTTGTCCTTTACCTGAAAAATATCTCTCTGACGTATTTTAACAAATCCTCCTCCTCGGGACTTCTGCAGGCAGCGTTGGAATCCCTAGGTCCCGGGGAAGGGCTGAGGCCTGGGGCAGGCAGGCCTTTCCCACTGTCTACGTCCTCGCTGCTGCTTCCAGAACTTGTGTGAGGTGACATGGAACACGGTGGGGAGAGTGCTGGCGTATCAGCGCCCACCAGAGACAATGGCTCCCAGGGCTTTTCCTGTTTGCAGCTCTGCAGAGTAGAAGAGATGGCAAGCATATATGTGTATTTTATCTCCCGAACATGCTGGTTTGACTGTCAGTAGGACGAATCCAGAAGCAAACACAAAGCCAATGTGACCAGCCAGACTCTGCTCCCAAATTGTAGCACCCTACTCCTCCCCCAACCGTCTCTTCACAGCTCTTGAAGAAATCGGGACCAACCTGGAAGGCAAGCAGGCAGAGACATAGGGAATAGCTGAAAATGAAAAAAAGAAAAAGAAAGAAAGAAAGAAACTGATAGATGTCTGGTCGAGAGTAGTGGTTCATGCCTGTAATCTCAGCACTTTGGGAGGCTGAAGTGGAAGAATCGTGTGAGCCCAGGAGTTTGAGACCAGCCTATGCAACAAAGCGAGACCCTGTCTCTACAAAAAAAGAGAACTAGTCAGACATGGTGGCTCATGCCTGTAGTCCCAGCTACACAGAAGGCCAAGGCAGGAGGATTGCTTGAGCCTAGGAGTATGGTGAGCTGTGACTGTGCCACTGCACTCTAGCCTGGGGGGGTGGGAGGAGGGGGTAGTAAGTTCAGGACCAGGGAGAAGAGGACGGAAGAGAAGAGGGGAGGGGAGAGGAGGGATGGGAAGGAGGAGACAGGGAGAAGGAAAGAGAAGGGAAAAGAAAGGAAAAAGAAAATGAAAGTGTCTGGAAAGGCAAATGACAGACTGGAAGGAGTCCAGGACATAAAATCTGGGCGTGGGCCCATACTTAGTAGCTTGTTGGCTATGAAACTAAGTTAAAGTCCCAATCTCCGATTCTTGGGGAAAACAGTATCAGAAACAACAATTCCCCAGGGTTACTGTCAGGATTAAATGAGATCATACACAATCCCAAAGCCTCTGGTAAGCTATAAAGTTCTATACAACTCTTAAGTGGCGCGATTATTACTACTTCTGGAAGACAGGAAATTTCAGCAGCCTTCTGCTCAGGAAAGGGGCAACGGCTAGGAAGTCATCCACCCAACTGGGATCCTTTCTGAGAAAATAAGTAGGTAAATGCTCCGTGTCCCCTCTACATACAAACTAGAACAGAGGGCACGCTCTCCCTCACAACCCCGCACCCTCCCCAGGCATCTAGACTCAAAGGCACACCCTACAGGTACACCCCATGGTGGGAAGAGTGAGGCAGGGCAGCGCGAGGTCCCACGAGACAGCCGATGAAAGCGGCTATCTCTCTTGACATTGACCAAGGGTCTAGACTAGCTTCTGCCCAGGAAAAAAGTTTCTGGTCCTAAGAGTAAGAAGAGACAATGTTGACTTTACCTCAGTCAGGAGCCCAAGAGCAACCTCCACTATTTCTGCTTCATTCATGCAGTATACAGTCCTCACTGCAGGCAGCCTGAAACAGACACGTAGCCACAGGTGGGGACATAGGGCCTCAGGTCTCACGAAGAGGAAGAACGAGACAGCAAGAAGGTTTCATCCCCCAGCCTTCCTGCCAGGGGTGAGGGCACTTCTGAGCTGAGGAGCTTCCTCAGACACAGGTACTTCCTCATCCTTACAGCCCAGTAACTGGCATGGGGGTTCGTGGAGGCAACCCTGGGGGTCTTCTCACCCTCTGCCAGCACCCCCCAACAAGGAGCTGGAAACAGGGAATGAGGGCCAGCTCCTAAGGGTCAAACCCTGAAACACACAAAGGATGCAAGCAGGTAGGGGCCATCGGTACAGCACCAGACTAGAACATATCTGAATGTGGGACCATTTAGACGCAGCAGTCACAATGGGAGGGCTGAGTTAGGAAGCCTTAAAAAAGGAAGAGCTGAGAGAACAGCACCGAACAGCCGGTGCCCTACCCAGTTCAGTGGAAGGAGGTCCCTTCACTTAAGGCTGCAGCCTGGAGACCTGTCCCCGCAGTTACCATCAGCCAACTATCCACCCCCAGCTTCTGATCTCTGGCTGGTCCAGCAACCTGCTAATCATCTGTCAGTCCCTAAAGATCTATCCACAAGAGGAGCTGGCACTGTTAGGAGATGAAACTCTCTAGTCCACCAATCTTCTGTTACAATATCTGTTGCAACATCTGTTGCAAATGAAGAGACTGGCATTTTGGACATCTGGCATCTGAGCGCTTGGCTAATATGTAGAACGTACCCTTATTTCTGCCAAAAAACCAAGGGCCTGATGGTGGAGCACTCACCAACGCAGAGGCAGCAGCAGGCACCTGTGTGCCCATCTATGAGGAGACAGTTCACTCAGCCTCCCACCTGCAGCCTCTGTACCTCCTAAGAGCGCAAGAGATTGTCAGACTGAAATGCCCACCCGCCCTGCTACTCCACCCACACTGAAAGGCTCAGCCTGGGAGGCCCTGCCCGACACTTGTTGATTTTCCCCAGGAGTCCTCTGTCCAAGGTTGCCCCACCTTGCTGGTGCCATGGGCACCGCCGCCATTCTCCTCCTCTTGAAGGCCGCCACTGGCACTACTCTCTTCTCAGCCACCTGGGCTGTCATCCATGAGGGAAGGACTCTTTTTCTGTTTTCAGATTTTAAGGTTTCCATCTCTGTACTTTCTCACAAAGAGGAGTCACGACTCAAGCTTAACGAACCGCTTTTAATTCAGGAAAGCAAATCCCACTGTCTTATCACACAAAGAATTATCAGTCTCTTTGTCCTCAGTGGGAGCTGATCTTTAATCCCTACAAAGGAGAACAAAGTCCATCAGTCCAGTGAATTCCAATAAGCTAGAATACTTCAGGTCACCAACCAGTTACAGGACAACGCAGGGCATGACCCAGCAGGTGAGCAGGGCCCAGGAGGCTCGAACGGCTGTTGGCAGGTGTCAAGCAGGAGGTGTGGCAGTGGGCAGGGCGATGGGCTTGGGAGACAGAACCCTGGGACCTGCCCAGTGCCCCACACAGGCAGGCAGAGTTGAGGAGAGAGGCCTCCCCACAGCCTCTTGTGTCTCTTCTCCTCACCACTCCAAATGCCACTGTCCTCAGGGTGCCCAGCCATCCATCCAGCCTCCAAAATACCTCTCAAAGGTCACTCCCTCATCTGCCTGACTCCGGACTTCTCATTTCCTCTAGAGTGGCTCCATTACAAGAAACCCTGAAGCCATTTTATTCACAATAGCGTTTATTTGGCCCACATCATTCCTTTAATCTAAAGATACTTCTGACTGACCCAACTTTAACCAGCAGAGCGTAACTGTCAGGCTCCTGATTCCCAGAATCCAAACCTTCCCTTCTCCCCCGCAAAAGCTCCTGCCCTTACTTGACCTCTCCCCTACCAGGTTGTTCTGCCTCAGCCCTGCAGTCCTGATGCTCAATTCCCACCCAGAGAGAAGGGGCTGAGAGGGTCTAGGTGTCTACCTTCCACCGAGAAGACACACCAGAAGCTTCTGCCTGAAATCTCACTGAAGCAGAGGTCTGCCCAGAAAAAGGTGGTCAGCGGAGACTCGGATCCTCCTTTCTGAGTCGGACTTGATAATGTGCTGCTACTCAAAATGCCTGTCCGCAGACTTACACGTTAGCCCGCCTTCTTAACCTGCCCAGACAAAGGGCAGCCCTTTGCCAACATACCTTTATTTCTACCAAAATCCAGTGGTGATAGTCGTTCCTGCCAGGGAGCCCACAGTACTCGCGGTCTATGCGGACAGAGCTGTTCCCGACCCTGAGGTGCACATTAAGATCATCTCACAAACGAAACGCTGAAGCCAGGCTGGGCCGCACAAAGTCACAGAGTGGAATCGGCCATGCGACTCGCGGCAGCCCTGCACACGCCACACCCCGCTGCGCGGCCCTCGGGGCCAGGGCTCGCTCGGCCCCTTGCACAGCGCGCTCTCCGGAGCTCGGTGCTCGGCCCACCGGCCCGGGCCCCCTCCGCGGGCGAAAGGGAGCCGGGGACGGCGGAAGGGCGTCCTGGCGACGAGCCCGCCGCGCAGGCTGCTCCGGCCCGGGTCTCCACGGGCAGCCAGGCCGGGCCCACCGCCGGCGGCGCGCTTCCCGGGCCAACGCACCGGCTGCCCCACGCTACTTCCTGGTTTCCGTAGCGGAGCTGGGGCGGACCGCACCCCGCCCGGAACTTAGAGCCCCGCGC